TAGTTTTTGGGTACATTTTCGCAAAACAACACGAATACAGTCACTGACATGACCGTCAGAATTGACAAGCCTCAAAATTCAAGGCGTGAGAAATACCAACTAAAACATCCGATTGCCCCCAAATCCGTGCGGCAAAATCCCGGAAATGTCCGAAGTGGATCGGATCCATGGGAAACGAAACTGACGTGGTAAAGTGACGCTTTCCGCATGCTAAATCGGTGTTTAATTAGGCATTTTACAGAAGGGAGTGGAAAAACCATTTTAACAATAATGATTTGGACAACGATTCAATCATCAACTTTGTTTACTCAACATAAATTTATTTTTATTTTAAATTATATAAATATTATAAAAACAAGTGGACTAAAATATAAAGTGTGTTATATCATTGTAATCGGAATAAGATTTTCTATTAAACACATAGGTAATAAACAGGGTGTTCCATTAAAAAATAATTGATTTAGGCTTGTATGTCAGAAAATTGATTCTGTTTTGTTTTATACGTCATTAAAAAAAAACTTGGTAACTAACTTTACATTTTTGTACCTTGATATCTCTGAAAACAAAAAAGTTACAGAAAAATTAAAATGTTATCGAGTTAAATTGAACGCGCGGTGCATATTTTATATTTTTTTGCCGTAACTTCGATTTTGCGAAAAAACAATGCGTCTCTCGCAATCTTGTTACGTTATTTACGTCAAAAAATGGGAACACATTGTTTTTCCCCTGAACCCTTCAAGCAAAAAATTCATTGTAGTATATAATGCAACAAGTGCTGTAAACGGCATTTGACTTATGAGTTAAAAATTTTACCGAATGTGTTGCATACCATACTTTTTCTACGACATTTAGTTTTTGGGTACATTTTCGCAAAATAATACGAATAGATTCACTGACAAGACCGTCAGATTTGACAAACATCAAATTCAATCCGTGCCGTAAGGTCTCAGAAAACTAACGTGGTAAAGTGACGTATTTTACAGAAGGGAGTAGAAAATAGTATATTATGCAACAAGTGCGCTAAACGGCATTTGACTCACGAATTTATTTGACACGAGTGGAGCGTAGCGGAGCGAGTGTTTAATAAGCGAGGAACTTAAAAAGTTTACCGAACGTGTTACATACAATACCTTTTTGTACGACTTGATGAAAATCAATTTATCAAAATAAATAAGAACTAAAAGTTCAGATTTTCACGAAATTATATGTTATGACTTGATAATTGTTTCGACAACACCGTGTCTTTATCAAATGTAATATTTACAAACTACCTGCTACTATATGTACCGAAAAATGACCATAAAACCTTAATTAATGTTGTTGTGAGAATTTAAGTTCAATAAAGGAGAGGTATTTAAATCTAATTGATCGTTAATGGATTTTCATCAAGTAAAAGCCACCTCAGTTCAATTTTTGAAAGAAACTGAAATTGGTTTCTTGGCTATTTGGTGTTTTAAATTGCTTCTACGTTGCCGAATATCTTCCCAAAACATTTGGTTTTTTAACAAATGTCTGCAAAATAGGGTTTTTCCCAAATACCTAAAATTAAAAACCAACAACAGAAGTCCCGCTGCAAGGAAAGCCCAGATCCAAGGCCAGACGAAATTAATGAAGGAAGAACGAAAACACGAGTATAGAAAATGGGATTCCAACAACATTGATGTAAAGGTAATACATTCTGAATTGTCTCATACACTTAATCCCATAGAATTTGACACATTTAATTATAAAGTTCGAACAGACATTTCATCTATCGTTCATAAAAAGTTTATTAGACAAAAACTAAAGTTAGACAAAATAATTTCTAATTCAAAAATAACTGGAAGCAAGCCAGTTATTACAAAGTATACCGACCATCATTTTTACAACAGGTTCATAAGCTTAACAGACACAACATTTTCCAAAAATGAAGTTGAATTTCTGGAAAAAGGTTTCAACTTTAACTTACAACACTCGTACATTAATAGAGAATTTGACTGTTTAGGGATCGATTGTGAATTAGCAATTAAGGACATTAACGATTCTAATTTAAATAAACATGTATTAGCGAATATAATAAACTCTCAATTAATAGATAACAACAAACACAAAGAAATTTCTCAAATTGCACTAGTTAAAAGTATCAAAAACAAAGCTTCTGAAAATAACATATTATTTACACGTGCAGATAAAGGGAAGACAGTCATAGCTATCGATCTCCCAGAATATATTTCAAAAACCAACAATTTTCTTAAACCAGAACTTTTCCTTTGTATCAAACACGATCCTACAGAGTTATATCAAAGACAAGTCAAGGATGTAATTACTAGCTCCACGCTATTTAGTGACAAAGACAAATATTTTTTAACAATTAAGAATCCAGAACCGCTTAAATTATATTCTTTAGTTAAATTACATAAACAAGATATGCCCATTAGACCAGTCGTGTCTTATGTAACAGCTCCAGCAGTTAAACTCTCTACAAAATTAGTAAATATTTTAAAGTTCCACACTAAAATATGCAATAAAAAATTCTTTTGATTTAATCAACAAAATTAAAGACATAAAAATCCCTTCTAACGCAACACTATTGTCTTTTGATGTACAAAATTATTTCCCAGTATCCCACCTATGGATGTGATAGATTTAGTAGATTTTACCCTAACTCGGAAACAGGTTAACCCATTGGTGAAACAAGATTTATTAGATTGCTTAATAGTATCTTTAGACCAAAATTATTTTGAATTTAATGGACAGATTTATATCTCTAAAGAAAGTTTGATTATGGGAAACCCACTTAGTCCTTTGTTAGCCGAGATAATTTGGAAAATATCATACTAGAACATCCTTTAAGTAAAAGTTTTTTATGGTGGTATAGATACGTGGATGATATCTTTGCTTGCTTTGTTGGAACGGACAGACAATTGAATTCTTTTTTAAATTACATTAATTCATTACATAATCGTATAAAATTCAGGATAACTCTATTAATTTTTTAGACTTAACTATTACAAAAGCGCAAAACAAATTAGATTTTTCAGTATATCATAAACCTTCACACACGGACACAGTCATACATAACAGCTCAAATCACCCTTATACACATAAAATGGCTGCATTTAACTCTTTTATACAAAGACTTCTAAATACGCCACTCTCGACAGAAAATTACAACAAAGAACTTAATATCATTAAACAAATTGCACTGAACAACGGCTACAATCCGTCCATTATAGATAAAATTATAAATAAAAAACAAAAAACTCTATTTATCCGAAACCTAATACAGAACACGAACAATTTAAAACAATTACATACATAGGAGAACCTAGTGAAAAAGTTTCAAAACATTTGTAAAAATGTGGTTTAAAAATCCTAAAAATCAGGTGTCTACGGATTGAAATGTGGATCTTGTCCTAAAATTTATATTGGACAAACAGGTAGATCCTTCAAGAAACGCATTAACGAACATAAAAGAGCGTTTGAAAACAATAGTTTAGATTCTAATTATGCTACACACTTAAACGCAGAAAAACACATTTTTGACGACAATTTTGATATTTTACATACAGGCACAAAAAGTAGAAAATTAAATTTGTTGGAAGCCATCGAGATTAACAAAATGAGACATTCAAATGTATTGCTTAACGATCAATTAGATTTAAATACCTCTCCTTTATTAAACTTAAATTCTCACAACAACATTAATTAAGGTTTTATGGTAATTTTTCGGTATATATAGTAGAAGGTAGTTTGTAAGTATTACATTTGATAAAGACACGGCGTTGTCGAAACAATTGTCATGTCATAATATATAATTTCGTGAAAATATGAACTTTTAGTTCTTATTTATTTTGACGAATACATTCATTGATATGACCGTCAGAATTGACGAACGTCAAAATTACATCCAGAAATGTCCGACGTGGTTCGGATCCGTGGGAAACGAAACTGACGTGGTAAAGCGACGCTTCCCGTAGGTTAGATCGGTGTGTAATTAGGTATTTTATAGACTGGAGTAGAAAATAGTATATTATACAACAAGTGCGGTACACGGCATTTGACTCACTAGTGTATTAAACATTCGCTCCGCTCGTGTCAAATAATTTCGTGATTTAAAAAGTTTACCGAACGTGTTCCATACTATACTTTTTCTACGACCGTTAGTTTTTGGGTACACTTTCGCAAAACAACACGAATAGATTCACTGACATGACCGTCAGAATTGACAAATATCAAAATTCAATCCGTGCCGTAAAATCTCCGAAAATTAACGTGGTAAAGTAACGCTTCCAGCACGCTAGATCAGTATGTAATTAGGTATTTTACAGAAGGGAGTAGAAAATAGTATATTTATTTGACACGAGCGTGTTCTGTTAGATATGGCAACATAGCATGTTACCGTTCCTGCCGTAGAAACCCCTAGGATTTAGTCTATCCTTAGCACTCAATAGGTATTGATGCGCGAGCGCCCTGTCCTCAGGAAACGCACGATAACCAGCATTGTAGTAATTTGAAGTCGTTACAGAATAAATCTTTAGTTTCTGAACTAACGTATTCATTTAACTGTCGCATGAGCCCCCGACAGAACAGAGCGGAGCGAGTATTTAATAAACGAGTTACTTAAAAAGTTTACCGAACGTGTTGCGTAGTATATTTTTTCTACGAAAATTAGTTTTTGGGTACATTTTCGCAAAACAACACGAATACATTCAGTGACATGACCGTCAGAATTGACAAACGTGAAAATTCAAGCCGGAAATATCCGACGTGGCTCCGATCCGTTCGAAACGAAACTGACGTGGTAAAGTGATCGTGTAGAAAAACAGTTTTCCGTGTCTTTCTTGAGCAACTGGAGCGTCCGACATTCCCGTACCTGCGGACTTACAACTGGGACTGACCCCTCTTCTTCCCGGCGCTAACTCCGTATCGCTACGCACACGTGTGTCCCGGAAAAGCGCGCAGGATCTAATCCTGCTCCCGAAGCGTCCTGACGCTCTGTTTCCTCGCCGCGCCGCCGTCGTCACCGTCGCTGAAATCTTGCTGTGTGCCAAGCCAGTCGCTTGCAACCTTCGACCGGGAGAACTCGTCACCGTTACCCGCACAGACCTGGACCGCACTGTCTCAAATAGACGAGCCTCGAAACAACCTTTCTGATCGATATTTTAACATAAACTTGAACCGAATTTCCATGCTACGTGCTCTCGACTCGGGGACTTTGTTAAAGTCGGTTCGCGCTCTTTTGTAATGGACTTGGACGTTTCGCGGTGGGGTGCGTGTCTTCGGAGTAGGTTTTCTTGACACATTTGCGCAAAAATGACATGAACCGGGAGACAGCGTGCCGCCCGGCTATCGCAGCATCGCGGAAAAATGAAGGGATAATGGTACGTATGTGAATCGCGTTAAAAAAAAAATCGATGGGTTTATATTTTATCTTTATTCGGCGTTCGAGTCGCTTGCGAGGCACGCGGCGTCGAATTTATTATCGCAGAAACGTTGAAAATTTCGAAAAGTTTAAAATATGTAAGCGGTTCATTACGATTTCAGTTGCTTTCGGAATATACGACGTCTTTTGTTATTGATTATCTGCGTTGAAAGGTGCCCACGGATTATAAAGGTACGTTAGTGGGTGCGAACATTGTAGTAGAAAATAAAGAAAATTTGCTGATTATCCAGTAATTTTCAAAAAATAGAAGAAAAAGTGGCCTACATCTTTGACGTTATGTCAACACAGTATGGACTTAATATAAAATAAAATTTAAAGAAAATATAAGAAATTTTTGCTTCTTGTAACCAAAACTTAATCGATGATTAGGAACATTTAAAAAAATATATTATACTGTAAAAACAACGTTTACATTAAGGGTATGTTAATGTTATACAACATTTTCAAAAAGTGTCTCTCTTTAAAATGACTGTTATACTATAAAAGTGCAAAAAGTACGAAACTTATTTTTTTTTAATGGAAACACCTTTATTTGTAACTCTACAACCAAATAAGATTTTGATTCCTAAATTTAAGGTTTTCTAAATAATTTGCATTATGTCAAAAACTTTTATCTAATAGCAACTATTAGTGGCTATAACTTGATTAATTTAAATGGAACACCACATATTTTAATTTATCAGGAAACGTATTTTTCACCCATATTGCGAATAATATTAGAGTGTCCTCTAGCTAGTCCTTCGCGTTTTCTCAGAATACTTGAAATTATGGTTTTTGATGTCATAAATTAAAACATATCAAGTATTTTAATATCCAATAATAATAACAATAATTGAAAAACACAGCCCCAAAATTTTGAAAGAAAAACAGAAAAAGATGGCCACAACTTCGATGTTACATCAACATAGTGTTGATATAATATAAAATATAAAATAAATACATATAACAAAAAATTTCGCTGGTCCTGAAATAGCTTATATAATGTATAATAAATTTTTGCTCTGATTTTTCGTAACATCACTAGAATGCAAAAATGTAAAGTAATCGAAACGCCGAAACTAAGTACAACTCAATCGATCATAAGAAACATTTTAAAAAATATATTACACCTTAAAAATGAATAACATTTACATACAGGATATGTTAATGTTTTTCATTTCGCAATTGGCCAAACTACAAAATTTTCAAAAAGTTTCACTTCTAGAATATATGAAGCCCTGTCATATTTTTCTTTAAAATAACTGTCATACTATACATGTTATAACAAAACTGCAAAAAGTACAGAAACTTAATCTTTTTCTAAAGGGAACCCCCATTATCAGATACATATACATAACAAAAAAATTGCGCTGCTCTTGAAATAACGTGTGTAATACATAAAAAATGTTTGCTTCTTTGATATTTCGAAACATCACCAAAATGCAAAAATGAATAATTTTCATTTTTTGGCAAAATATTGTAAACTATGGAATAACCGAAGTAAAAGAAACCCCAAAACTAAACAAAACTCAATCGATCATAGGAAACTTTTTAAAAAATACATTACACTGTAAAAATTAATAACATTTACATACAGGATATGTTAATGTTATTCATTTCGCTGTTGGACAAAACACAAAATTTTCAAAAAGTGTTTCTCTTCAAATAACTATTCAAGTTATAACAAAACTGCAAAAAGTAGGAAATAATGTTGTGATTCCTTTTCTTAATGATTTGAGTTTTGTCAAAAAAAAAATCTAGTGACCACCAGTGCTTTAAATTGATTAATTTAAAGGGCACACCACATCTTTTGTGTCTTATAGCTAGTTCTACACTTGAAATTATGGTTTTTGTATATTGTTAGATTTCGCTTTACACATTAGCACAACGACGTGGCTCCAGGTAACTTGGAGTGCTGCCTCAGTATTATCGCGAAGTTCGGAAAATTGGTGAGGTAAAGACATTTCAAAATTGGCCCCCCAGATCCCCAGATTTAACACCACTTATTTAGACTTCTTAATAGAGTTAAAAGGAATTTTTATAACACGCTTGCAACCACACCGGATAATATGAAGATACGTATTACGTTTCTAACACTGTAATGTTGTTCAGAGTGAGAATGAGTTTCAACAAAAGAATATGTAGGTATCTGGAAGGCGACTCTCGATATTTAAAAAAATTATTTCAAATGTACGTCTTTTTTATTTTTATTTTACCGTTAGTTAATTTTCATAATAAATTGCTTTTCAAATGTTATATTTTGATCCTTGCCAATAATCATTTGGTAAGCTGATGGTAACCTAAGAGGTCTCTTTAATCGCTTAGCCTGTGGATAGAAGTCTCTTGCACTCAATGGAAATCGAAATTTTCAGTCTATTAGTTACTGAAATAAAGAACCAAGAAACACGAATTTTAAGGTCAAATTAAATTGGTTTCGAATAAACAGTTTTTTGGTTAGTTTCAAATTCGACTCAGAATTAATTTAGTATATAATAAAAAAATAGTTCACACTTGCCTTCTTTCGACTGTGACTCAATATCTCTTGATTTATTGATTTATGTTCGAGTGAGTTTCAGTCAGTTTGTCACCTATATAGAGGGTGTTTCATAAAAGAAAATTTTGTTGTTCATACTAAAAACGATCTCTTTGTGATGTTCAACGAGATCCAGTCAAAGGACTAATTACTAACAAAAATCTGATTTAATCATTAGAATTAAATTAGAAGTTAAATAATGGTAACTTACAATTGAATATTAATAACTGGCATAAAACAATGTGAACAAAAAAACTTATCTAAATTAGCTGCAGCCAACTGCAAGTAAGCATACTTCAGCTTCGACAAACTGTTCCTTAATTGTATAGGGTGTTTTTTTTTTTCGATGTATAAAACTTTAAGTTGACATTACTGTTCAAGATGGCGACCGATTTAACAGCTGTCAAGTGATTTATTCTCAGTTTGGTTTGGCAATTCATCATGAATAGACTCACGACTGAACAACGCTTGCAAATAGTGCAATTTTATTTCGAAAATAATGGTTCTGTGCGGAATACGTATCGGGCACTACGTCAGTTTTATCGTCGACAAAATCGTCCATCAGAGCAGTCAATTCAATTAACCATGAAATGTTTTCGCACCACGTTTACTCTTATTGATAACTCGCATCCCCAGAGACGCCGTACGGTGCGTACAGAAGAAGCTATTGCTGATGTAGAGCGTAGCATTGAAGAAGACCCGAAGTCCATCCACCATCGAGCACAGGAATTGGATCTGTGTCCATCCACTTTATGGAAGATTTTGCGGAAGGATCTTGGTTTACGTGCTTACAAAATCCAACTCGTGCAAGAATTGAAGCCAAACGATCATCAAGTAAGGCGTAGATTCGTCGAATGGGCCCAAAACGAGATTGTCGTTGTTCCCGATTTGCATAAGCGAATTTTGTTTAGCGATGAAGCGCACTTTTGGTTGAATGGCTACGTCAACAAACAAAACTGCCGCATTTGGAGCGAAACTAATCCTCAAGTGTATGTCGAAACATCGTTACATCCAGAAAAACTGACTGTTTGGTGCGCTTTATGGGCTGGTGGAATCATTGGTCCGTACTTCTTCAAAAACGATGATGGCCAGAAGGTTACAGTCAATGGTGATCGGTATAGAGCTATGATTACTATCTCTTTCATTCCTGAATTGAATAACCATGATGTCCAGGAGATGTGGTTTTAACAAGACGGCGCAACATGTGACACAGCTCGTGCCACAATCGATTTATTGAAAGACACGTTTGGTGACCGCCTAATTTCATGTTTTGGACCTGTGAATTGTCCTCCAAGATCTTGTGGTTTAACACCGCTAAACTACTTTCTGTGGGGCTATGTAAAGTCATTGGTCTATGCGGATAAGCCACAAACGCTTGACCATTTGGAAGACAAAATTCGCAGTGTTATTGCCTATATACGGCCACAAATGTTGAAAAAAGTCATCAAAAAATTGGACGTCCAAGTTGGACTACATCCGCGCCAGCAGTGGCGGTCATATGCCAGAAATCATAATTAAAATGTAACGCCACAAGATTATCGTTCGGATAAATAAAATTCATGTCAATCGAATAATCCATCGTTGTTTTATTGCAACTTAAAGTTCTATACATCGAAAAAAAAACACCCCTTATAATAGTACGTATGGAATAATGGTACGCATAATTGATTTGCTGAAACGGATCATGCGTTTATATTTTGTCTTTATTCCGGTTTCGGGAAGCGCATTTCTTTATTGTGGAACAAATATGTAAAAAGTTCAAACAAAATTCAGGTACGTTCGTAATATTCGATGTCTTTTATTATTGATTGTCTTCGTTGGAAGGTGTCCACAAATTAAAAAGGAAAAATTTTCAAATTTATGCGTTTATGACATAATATTGAATATAAAATAAATAAATATGAAATATCTTTAAATGAAATCATTTACATAAGAAATTTTGTCTTGTTTGAACATTACCAAATTGTATATTAATTTCTTGATATAATATTGTAAACTATAGAAGAAATAAAAACTAACCAGAACTGACCAAAATTTACTCGTTCATAAGAAAAATGTAAAAAACAATCAAACTCTTAAAATTCAACATTTACAAACAGTTATTCAAGCTATAAAGTAATCGTCAAAACACCAAGTTTTCGAGAATTCTTTCATATGTTGCAGTCCTATTATGGGTACTTTTTAAAATTACGTTCATACTATACTGGTTGTCCCAAAAGCTCGAAAGTTGTATTTTTTAAACGGAACTTTATATATTATAACATTTTGTTTGTTGTTGTGTTTCAATAACATTTCTAATTTCTTTCTAATAAACGTTTTTTTTTAAATCTTACTGAGTTTTTAAATTTTCCTAAAGCATAATTTGTCTAAATGGTATTTTGTTTACCTGCCTATTGGCTATGTTATGTAGTATCATTGTTGTTATA